CCCAAGTAATGTACGTCTGGTAAAATACAATAAAATTGGAACATACATTGCATGACGACTGTGGTGCCGTAACTAAGTCAACTTTGAATAGTAAAGTTTGAAAATACCTTTGTAGGCTTGCAAACTGTTTTTTAAGCCTCATCAGCTGAGCTCTGCCAACTACCATACTGGTACGCTGAATATCAAGGCTAGGTTTGTATTTCTCACAGTAGAAATCTGCTTTCTCTTTACTAATGTTAATCTTAGAACCAATTGCCTCAGCAACACTTAGCCTCGTGGAAGGTTTTGATAACACAGCACAGAAGCAATCTAAAGCCTGTATTAAAGCATGTGACAGAAGAAAAAGATTGTTACTGTCGGGGCAAGATGCAAATCATAGGTGTGTTTGTTAATTAAGTTGAATTGTCTAGTTAGACATCAAAATGTTTTCTATAATTATTATTCCATTTGCTGTATTATTTCTGTGCAACAATAGCTTTGATGTTTAGTTTAGATTATTTATATCATATTTGATACTTATGACGTTATTACCGCGGTCAGTGATTGGTTTAGAACCGACCTATCACAACTTGATTTTTGTGTCATGTGTCACTTGAGAACCTCGCGGCTCCGCCATTATTATTTTGTTGTTTCAAGCTGATGTACATGTTTCCCGTTTTTGTAGTTCAATAAATGTTAATCCTGACATGAAACTTTCCGACTTCATTAATTGTTCCGACTCAATAGTATACAGCGACTATACTTCGAGCCTAATCACTGCCACATATTGGTTATCCCCATTGGTTTAAAAACAATAGTGCCTAACCAACTAGCGAATCAGGGAACACCTAACATGTGACATAAATCAGAAGACAGTATGTAATCAGGTTCAGAAATTTAATTTTTTAATTACTTGCCTCTTGGAAGACTTTATTAGCAGTTGAAGACAGAGATACATCAAAATCGGTTACAATTCTGGCACACCATTTCATCAAGTCCCTAAAAAGAGCAAAATGATATTGAATATTATACATTTGTTGATGTATCACCATGAGTGTTTGCCATCTATAGGAACATATGTCCACAATCTTATCAGGAAATGCAGATGATGGACATATGGACCTATTCCTTAAAAAGAGGTACTGCAGAAAAGTTGAATAATTTGACTTGTGAGCATCATTCAGACATTCATTTAGAAATGTAAGGATGTTTTTAAGTTTTATCTCACCTTGTTGATATCAGCCTTCCTTCATAATGATGAATGTTGGTACTGCTATTATCATCACTATCTTCAGTGTCAATATTCAAATCATGTCTGCCAGCAGACAACATGCAGTATATGTCAAGTAACTTCTCTACGACTGTTGTCAAACTTGGATATAACTTCACAATTACCTACATTGGACAAATTGAATTTGAAAGTTTGTTGGGTGTGTGGAATTGCAACCTCACTGGTTGTGTAAAATGTTGCAATATCTCATTGATTGCGATACTGTGACCTGATTGGTTGTATGATACTGCCATCTCATTGATTATGGTCATATTACAATCGCAGTGGCTGCGTGACATTGCAATCTCATTGGTAGAGATATAAGCAATCTCATTGGTAGAGATATAAGCAATCTCATTGGTAGAGATATAAGCAATCTCATTGGTAGAGATTTAAGCAATCTCATTGGTAGAGATATAAGCAATGTCATTGGTAGAGATATAAGCAATCTCATTGGTAAAGATTTAAGCAATCTCATTGGTAAAGATTTAAGCAATCTCATTGGTAAAGATTTAAGCAATCTCATTGGTGGAGATATAAGCAATGTCATTGGTAGAGATATAAGCAATCTCATTGGTAGAGATTTAAGCAATCTCATTGGTGGAGATTTAAGCAATCTCATTGGTGGAGATTTAAGCAATCTCATTGGTGGAGATTTAAGCAATCTCATTGGTGG